TTTTTTTTTGTTTTTTTTTTTTTTTTTTTTTTGGCACTCTTCCCTTGCTCATTTCATTTTGTCATGATTCGCCTTGTGTCCATTTCATGCTCCCCGCATTTTGTCCTATGCAGATGATTACTGCTATGCTTTTGATTATCGCCTTTGTTTTATTCACTCCAAGTTCCTATTCGACGTGCTAATCTATATACCATGGGTTTGATTTAATTATAGTATCTAACGACTTGAGGTTGGATTCCCCTTTTCATTCTCGCCCGTTTTATTTTTGATGCCCGCTTATGTCCTGCTTTTTTATAATGCCTTGATTAGTCTATTTTACTCGTTCATTATTATTTATTCCTTCCCCCCCCTTCGTCGTTTTTCTTCTAACTGCCTAGACTGGTGAACGGGTAAGATCTCTCCCTACGATTTCATTTGTCTCTTATATCCTGTTTAATATCCTTCTCCCACCTCGTCCATCTTTCTCTGCTTGGTCTCTTTAAACCTAGATACCCAGTGTGGCTAAGGTCATGCATAAAAACAGCTCATGGGAGGCAACCTGTGTATTTATCTACTTTATCCCAGGGGATGTGGCTTGCCTGTCTTCCAAGCAGACAAGCGAGAAATAATATATAACTAAGCCCATAGGGCTACACGTACATTCTGCTCACCTCATATTCCCTTCAATGGCATGGTTCCGCCACATATGATATCACATGTGGCTTGCGGATATCATCTCCCGAGTCAAATAATGTCTGGCGCCCAGGTCTTGGACGAAGAAGACTGTGCGTTGTTAAGAGTAAGTTAGACAACTAGATGCTTCCTTTTACCGAAGCATATCTTGTTCAATGCTGGGATCTCGCTGCCGTGACACCCGGAGTGATCCCCCCGCGAGAGATAAAATACAATATCTAAGAAATACGGAGCGAATACGGCTCATGAATCCATTGATATTTTAACCTGCTCTTAAAGTCGCACAGATTGTGTTCGAGATGGTCCATTTAGTCTGTAAGTTTGTTAACTCTTCCCTGCCTAACCCTTGAGTCTTTTTGGGCTGGCTATCTAGCCTCCATAAACTGGTAGACAGGGTGTAAACGAGACGAAAATCCAAAATATAGTCATTCAAGCTTAGTTAGTTGGTAGCTAGTTACATACGCAGCCAACGAAACGGACAAATGTCGGTGTGCGCTTTTAACTAGCCTTCTCGATATGATAGCAAGCTGCGTTCATAGTCCCATCAGGTTCCTTGCAACAGTAGAATTATTAGCTACGAGCCGTGTAATAAGCTGGACTGCGAATCCAGGAACGTCATTCAGCGCCGACTTGAACCCATCCTTTTGAATAAGATTATTGATATTGGAACAAGTCACTTGCACCAGTGTATCCCGAAGAGCCGGATCAGTAGTTGGGATGTCATAAACACCCCTAATGACATCAGGGTAGTCCTCGTCTTTCCAGTCAGAAAGAATGCTTGCGTGAAATTTATCTTTCACGCAGAATTTAAGCCCTTCTACGTCATATTTCTCAGCAACCGCGAAAACTTGGGCATCAAAAACGAAGGAAGCAGCGCTGGTGGCTGGATTGGTGTAATCGAATTTGTACATGAAGCTGAGCATTGCTTTGATTGCTTGGGGGTCGTCGTCTTTGAGCTCAACAACACCCTCTAGAGTTTCCTGGTCGTCGATTAGCCTCACTCATACCCCAGCTACCAGATATTGATGTCTCAGGACCATCGCTTACCTTCCAGTCGTGTTCTAGCATGCGCGAAAAGAATGTCGAGTGGCTACATAACACCAGTTTGTGCACTTTATATTCCTCGTCAACCGTCCGGACTATGATGTCTGCAAACCGTGAGGAGTCATAATAACTAGCAAAGCTGAGCGTAAGAATAGGTCACCATTGGAAACCCGAACACGGAGATAAACTTACGTTCCAAGATTCCGGAGGAAGAATACCGTATTTTCTGGCTCCAAGTCCAGCATCTTGTTTTACCCTGGGGACTGATATAAATAGGACCTTTAGCTCGCATGTTTTGAGGGCTACTCGAAAAAAATGCCCAGTTATATGTGTGAAGCACAATGTTGGATGAAGGTTTTTTTTTCACCTTCTTCTTCTTTCGTTCTTTGTAAGCCAAAGAAGCCCTAACTAGTTAACTAGAGTGTCAATGTCCAGTGTTGGAATGATAATTATATATATTGCGATCCTCCTTTGAGGTAGGTTGAGGGAGAATGATAAATACGCGTGAATCATAATATGATAAATCATGCTGACCTTTACCCGGTTACATGAGACTTCTGCGAGAGACAAGCTTTGAATAACAGCTGAATTATTGACTTTGGCGTTACTGGATAATTAATATCCTTTCCAGTTTGTCATATAGTTAATTGGGTGTTTTAGCAAAGAAAAAGTGATGCAGCTCCAAGAAACTTCCTGGAAATCAAGTAACCAATTATCGGAAGTGCAAGGTAATAGGCCTTTTCGCTTATTGAATTCTGAGGTTTTCTGGTAGCTTTGTCGGATGTCCCGTAACTATAACCGACTTTGGGTTAGGGTTCTTCCCGCTCTACCGCTCTGTATAACCGGCCTTGACTGGACCGAATACTCAACTGCCCTATCTATTTATGTACTGTATTGCTCCAAGCGTCGTTTTTCCTACTCAACCTGTATCAAATGAAAATTCATGTTCAAGTGTAAACGTCTAACCTCCCGCTATATATAAACTGAACCTTGCATGCATTGGAAGATAACAACACGGAAAATATACCAAAAGCCGTGGTTTATTAATTCTGGAAACATTCTAAAAGCATAATATTAACGTGCTGATAAATAACTTATGTGTTGTTATACATCTGGCAAACATGTCTTTGCCCAGTTGATGGGTATCGCGAGCTCAGACATATACCAGGTCGTCGTACCAAAGTGACATACAAAGACATAAGAACACACTCATCTAAGTAAGTCAAGTATCATAATAAAGGAAAAAAGCAGCCTGCCATTTCATCTTCACGTTCCAAGAGCGCAGTTAACGGTTCTCGTTTCCTAGTTCTTGAGGGACTTGACTGGCGTGAGAAGGCTTTGAGTCTGGTGGCATTTCATATGGATGTGCGGTCACGGGTTGTGTGTGCTGTTGATACATAGGCTGTTGTACCGCTATAGGTTGTGACGCATAGGTTCTAATTAGACGGAGGCGCTTTCGTCGTTCATAAAGGGCCCAGCCTATGGCACCTATAGCTATGACGCCAAGAGGGACACCAACACCAGCACCGATAGCCACATATGTCTTCGATGCGTTTTCGAGTTCAACTGGAGCACTCATAGCGGAAGCATGTATGATGTCATTGCCAGGAGAGGTTGGATCGAGCCTGGGTACGGTGCAAGAGGCTCTGGCAAGGAGAGCGCTATCTGTGATAACATCGCCCCGATTGATGGTAAAGGGCTCCGTGTCCCCAGCACATGTTGTGGTGCTCGATGAATTGGCGACGATCGAGTTCGCGCAGTATAGAGCCGTATGGTTAACAAAGCTGTGGAGAGGGATTGAGCAGCCCGTTTTTCTTGTACTGGCTACTATTCAAGAAGATGTTAGCAACCGTCTACTTTCAAACAGGGAGACAAGTATTAAGCTGGCAGATGTAGGGGTGTACTTTTTGAGCAAGGGTCGGGACACCCAGACGATGAGCTCCAGTTCTTGTCGGTACACGTTCCACGCGCCAGGGTATATGGTTGGTTTGTTACAAGACAGTAACCGTTGGTCATGCAGATTGAGGACTTTGAGCAGCAATGTGTGTCGCGTATCCCTGAGAAACATGGCACATCGTCTACAGCAAGGGAGCCGTCTGGGAAATAGCAATCTCTTGCAGCGTACACCGGTGCAGCCAATAGCAAATAGAGGAGTTTCCTTGACAATAACATCTTGATGAACGGGGGAGGGATGGGAGCAGCCTCAGTTGTGATCGAAAAAGGCCATAAAACGCGAAGGATGGGGGAATGAGGATAATAATATGTGCCAGCTCCCCCTATCTTAAGCGGCCGCAAACTCGGTCGCCAGCCCTTCATGTGCTGATGGAAGCACCACCGCTGCACATCCTCTTCGTAATTGCTGAGGACAATAGCAAAAATTGTCCACTGAAGGGGTAAGGATCATCAGTTCACCCCACCGGCCAAATCCTTCAGGCGGCAGGGATGCCGTATCAAGCAAGGCGGCGGCGTCTCATGATATACCCCAACGGTATTTCGCATCTCAATCTCTGGCTGCATAGATCGCTGGCTTCGTTGGTTCAGCCATCAAAGCGCATGAGACGTTCCTTGACTTGTCGGTTCAAGCAAAGTAAACAAACGGCGGTTCTCGGACGTCGAGAAATAAGGTTGACAACCCGCGCCTGTGGAGCCTTTTCGACTGCCCGAAAGTCAAAATGAAAAAACGTGGGAAGCTTGTCACGGTGAAGAAGAGACGAACACTTAAACACTTCCTCGGCGTGTTGGGGGAATTGGGATCCGAACTCAAAGGCCTACATATACTGTGTTTTGCTCGGGAAATTAAGATTTAGCGGCAACTAAGTCCGCACACAGTACTCCGTATAATCAAGATAGATGAATGGGATGCTTCTTTAGAGGTGGGGTACATATTTGTACAAATTCAGCACGAGTTGTCATAAAAGCCAGTCTAACTCAGCGTAGGGAGCAGCTAAAGCAAGAAAGACGAGTAAGAAGGTCAATGAACGAAGTAACAAAAAAGGGGGTAGGACATAGTAGAGACAGTAAATTTGAAGTGTATTAAATAAGATAGATGGTGAGGGTATCTCAGTAAATCTATATAGTGTAGATTTAGTATCAAAAGAAATAATAGGGAAGAAAAGAAAGAGAAAAGAAGAAATAGGAAAGGCCGCGTAAAGGAAGGCAGGTATTAAATCCATCTGAGATTAAATGGCAAGATGTAGTAAATAAGTAAGGAAAATGGTCAATGGAAAGGCATAACAACATAATACGTCCCATACGGGAGTGTGCATTAAGGGATAGAAGGAGCAACGGGGTGCGGTGATTATGTCTCTTGGAATGGTGGAATGGGAGGAAGTATATATATCAGGGGAAGGGATAGGGATCGACTGATATCAAATAAAGCGGGGGAAAAAGGCGTGTGCCAGAAGTCAGGAAGTGAAGACGAGACAAAAAAAGAAGATTAAACGCGAGCAGGCGGCGGCAGTATTTGGACTATCCTTCTGTGGAAGAATATATTAATGAAAGGAATGTAGTAGTTTGGTATTAGAGTCGAGAGGAAGAAGGGTCTGGCGTTTAATGTCCCTTCTTTCGACAGTGAACTTTCCATTCGGTTCTGGCAACTCTCATGAAGAGCTCGATATCATTTATCGGCACCCAGCTGGTGAGAACTTTCATTGCATTCTCAAAGTCGGATTCGAGAATGATGTCCCGCATTCCGTCGATCAAGGCTGCGGAGGTTGCATGTAGAATATCAAGGCTCTTACCAAAGGGGTTGGCCACAGGGTGAGCAGGGCCGGTTCCAGTACTGGTAGCATCGGCGTGGCCGTTGGTACTGGCTGGAACAGTAGGCTGGATTGGTTCTCCGGAATCTCCCAGAAGCATGAATACATCCCATACTCGGAGTTGAGCAGCAAATGGGATGGAATAGTTGAATAGAGTCAAGTACCATCTGGTTCCGTAGGCAGTTGGGGGAATTCCCAGTTCGGTCTAAACAATGGGTATGGCGTTAGCATGCAGCTATGAAAGGATTGGAGAGTAAAGGAAAATCAGTAACTTACCAGTTTCTCAGCTACCTCCCCATTACCTAGCCAGTCTTTCTCAAAGCTATTCAGTGCCTCCATCAGACCAGCAAAACCTTCACGATAAAGTCGATCAAGTCCTCTGTATTGCCAGAGACGGACGAGCATGACAAAGGCGTTCTCCTCGTCATAGTAAGCAAGTAAAGTGGCAGCCAGTGCTGCCATACCCTGCACATAACCGGTTTCTGGGAAATACAGAGACATGGCATGTAGCACACGGAAAAGAAGTCTCTGTCCTCCACGGTATCGACGGCGGAACATGATATGGCTGCTAATGGTACGAGGGACGTCGATATCGATCTGGACGTCATCAGGGGAAGGATAAACCTGCAACTCATTGAACTTTCTAATCAATTCATCCTCGGTAGGGCTGTCAGGACGTTTCTTTGCACTGGCAGCTAAGAAGGCATGCCATGCTGTTGACCGCCAGCTGTCCGGGATTCCCTTCCAGGTACGATCGATGAGCTTGGTACTGGTTACGTCGAATTCAAAAGTCATGCCAGAGCCATCTTTAGCCTTGGAGGTAAGCCTGGCCATTTTACGCCACTTGTCTTCACGCTCAGATTCCTTCTTCCTCATGGCCTTGGAATAGGCTGTTTCATCTTCGGAGAAACTGAAACTATTGGTCTTTTGGGTAGGGCTGGTTAACATGTCACCGGCCTCGTCCAGGAGCTTGCGAGAACGGTTATGAGGGAGCTTGTTGGCTGCATAACGTAGACTGCTGGTGGTACGAGAAAGATGAGGCTGGTATGAACTCTGGGAGGAAGTTGGACGCATTGGTTGGTCACTGGTTCGCTGAGAGGAAGAACGGCCGGCAAAAGAACGGATACTTGCCGCCCCAGCCGTTGAAGGTGGACGTTTGGCCATAGTACGTTTCCGTCTAGGTGTGGCAGAGGCAAGCATCAAACTGGTCGAGACCCGTTGTAACGGCTGCGGTACGTGCGCTTCTGGCTCGCCATCCTCAGGATGAGGAATGATGAAACCATACCTATCGACGTAACCGTTCTCAATATCATTCCAGTCCTCTAAGCCACCAGCAAGCTCATTACTTTCTCGCTCAACCGTATTTGTCCTTCTGGGTGGGCTAATTGTATTCGTTGACACAGTTTCTGATTTCTCACTTGCAGGGTCAGTAGAAGCTGCATTTCCGTTTGCAGGAGAAGAGTCAGCATTTTCAGAGACATCTTTCT